ACGTCCCCTCCCACTTCCTTCCCCCTTCTATCACTCATGTTATGTATTGCTATTGCGCCATCGATGGCGTAATCGTCCCTTTCTTTCCACCACCCCTTGAGAACTCCTTTCAGCCCTGCAGCGCCCGTTGAAATGTTCGTTTCACGTCGGCGTTTCCTTTTCTCTTTCCCCCACCCTCTTCGTTGCGCCTGCCCTCTCGGCGGGTCTCCATCGCGATCAACCGGTTGTTATAGCCGTCTGGTGCGGCGATAAAAAACGAAGAGCCACTTTGACGCCGAAAGCCGTCTTTCCGCGCGACCGTCGCGACATCCCGCCTCAGGCATTTGTCGCCGCCCGCCTCCGATCTTTCGCGTTTCTCTTTCCGGCCCTCGCCGAAATCGCGCTCTCCGCAAATGACGTCATATTTTTTCGCGGTGGAGGCAAAGCTCTTTTCGCATGATACACTTACTCACGGTAAATCCATCCATTGCAAACATGGGCATGTTGTTTTTTTTGCGCCTCGTTTCCGCGCGTTATGTAATACCGCGCCGCCGAACGACGTAATCCGCTCGGTTTTTCGGGCGGAGATCTGCCGAAAAAAGCGTTGCAGGCCTGTTCGGATGGGTAATCCCGACCGGGCTGGATTGGGTGTAGATCCGAGGGATATGAGGTGGGGATTACTGTAGCAGAGTGTTTACAATCCGGAAATGACGAGTGGAAGGGTTTTTGAGATTTTTTTCGATTTATTGGGGATTTTATGGGGACAAGTTTGGATTTTTGAATAGCACATGGACTCTGTAGACCTGTAAAGGTTTGGTGATCTTTTGTCAAGTGAGGATGCATTTTTTACATGATCAATTGAAACAAAAAGGCCTCTTTCTCGAAGGAAAAAAAGATTTGTTGTCAAAATTTTAAAATAATAAATCCAGCATAAAAATTGTTTAAAAAATCTTCGAAATCGTTTTTCCCATCAAATTTTCCTCATTTTCCCAAGCTTTCCCCAAATTTTCATCCCATCCCTTAACCCTTTCCTCTCAAAAAACTTTTTCCCATCACCTCTATACATGTTTCCTCTACCTCCTCCATTTCCTCCCTCTGATTCCATCGAGGCTCACCGTTCGCCTCAACGTTGCAAAAGTAAATTTTAGCCGCGCAATAGATCAACGAGACATTCAATCCATCTTCGGACAAAAGCCGGTTGGCTTTTTTTGCGAGCACTTGGTTTACAGTTAGGTCGGAGCGTATTGTAAACTGCTGACTTTACAATATTCTACAGTGATTTTATTGAGGAGCAATTGGGAGTTTATGATATATAGTTTTATAGCTTTAGGGCAGATTTTTGCTGGTAATGCGGAAGTGAATTATATGGGATTGGTTTTATTGGGGTTGTTACAGTCTTGTATTCATTTTAATATCATTTTCAGTCCATTTTCAAAATGAATTTTTCTTTTGATTTTTTAAATTTTTTTGATTTTTACGAATATTTTCAATAAAACCCAGTAATTCCAGCGTATTTTACAATTTACCATCATAAACTTTTTTGCATCCGTATTTTACATCCTCTTCTTATCGTTTCCACCCACTTGTCCCGGTCCCACCACGAAAACCTGAGTGTCTCGAAAATTCATCGGAATCCCGCACTCCTCCGCCGGCAGAACCCTCCAGGGCATTTGGCGCGAAAATGGTTTTGATTGGGAAAAATTGGTGGGCCCCCGAGGCGGTCCCTGTTCTGTGTCGGCGGCGGCGGCCGAAAGTTCGGCCGCGTTTAAACGGCGGCCCGCGGGACGGCGGAAGTCGGAAAAATTGGCTGTCCGTAAAGACGTCGGAGCGCCGCCGAAAACGGGAAGAGTGAGGCGTTTTTATTTTTTTCGTACTTTCGTTTTGTACTTTCTTGGACTTGAGGAACGAAAGCGAGTGTAATATTTTGAGAATTTTGTGGGAGTGAATGGCGATTCCGGTGAAAATTAGATTCATATCAGATCTTCAGACAATAAGCTGTAAGATGACAAAGGATTTTGTAATTTTTTGTGAAAGGTCTTACTGTACTGTTTTGTTCGAAAAATACTGGAAACAATATATTTTTTTGTTGATTTTTGTATTTTTTAAGGGTTTTGAAATTTATTCTGGAAAGGGTCTTTATTTCCGGCCGATTGATTATGCAATATGCTACAAGATTTTGAATTTTTTCTTTCATAGTCTTGCCGCATTTTGACCTAAAACTTTTGAAAAACGTCCAAAACTCCTAAAAACCGTGCCTCTCTCTTTTTATTCAAATTTTTCTCTCAAAAATCTGTCTCATATAGCAAAATTAAGCTCGTTTAAGCATTTTAAGTCCTAACTTAAAAATTAAACACCCTTTCATCGTCTTACCTATTCCGATTTGACCTCGAAATGATATCAATTTCGGGCCGTATCCTCTTCTATTCCCAATATTTGCCCTCCTTTCGTCTCGGCCGAGCGTTGATGGGCCGCGGCGAGAAGAACCGTCGGATCATTTTCGGGCTGAATATCTGCGGCTGGGGGATCTTGCTTCGGTCTCAATTTGCAAAGTCTTTGTTCCGATCGAAGGCGAAAAGAAGAGGGATCTCTGTTATCCACGGGGGCTCCGCTTCCTTCTGTTCAAAGGTTCATTCCGACGCTTCCTTGTCTTCTAGCCCCGAAAGCTGAGGGAATATTAAGAAAGTAGATTGGTGAAGTGGGAAATTGCTGGATGTATTTGGGAATTATTTTGATTTTTTTACATTTTTTCGATTTTTTCAAAATAAGGTGTAATGTAAAATTTATCAATCATAAGGTAATAAAATTCGGCTCAAATTAGAAAAGACCTTTTCTACAACATTTTTGAGGTCTTTAACCCGCAGAAAAATGCAAAATTTTCAAAAAAATTTTTTGGACTTTGAATTTTTTGTCGCTCCCAAGATTGATGTAATTTTTGTTCCCCTAACCCCCCCCCTTTTTATTTTGGCGCGCCTGTCATACACAGTTAAGCTCGCGTAACATATTTTCTCGATTTATCTCGAGTTTTTTGGTCAACCAAAAAATATTTTACAAACAAAAAATCCAATTTTTTTAATGTCGATTTTTTTTTATTTTCTATTCAATTTTGTTTTTTCTCTGACATCATCAAAAAATTCATAAAGCTTTTGGACTTCCAAGACGCCGCAAGTTTTCCGGAGAGGAACACAAAAAGCTTATTTGTATATTGTCCTTGGCGCTTTAAAGACAACTTGAGGAGAAAAGGGGCTTCAAAAAACGGATGTGCACCATCTTTGACATTCTTTTTTGGCAAGAGCGAGTTTTTCAAGAGTAAACTAAAGGGACTTTAAGAAAACGAGCGACGAGTGGGAGGAAATGGAAGATTGTAAAGATTTTGGACTCAAGTGGTACGTAGATTTTGGGACGGGAGATTTGCCTAGCAAAGCTTGAACTTTTCGATTTTTTTGATGGAAAGTTGACTGGTCGAGAGTTGCCGAGTATCTCCTAATAATAATGCGTTTTTTGGCCGTACTTGACTGTCATTATTTTTTTGCCTAACTAGGGAAGTGTACAAACGAACCCTCACCAAATAGCAAGTGATATACACCATTTGAAAGTCCTTGAAAAATGGTGCAAGATACCATTTTCATTTTTTGCAGAATGCCTTTCCGCGACGACATACTGTAAATTGTATTCTTTTTAGGCCATTTTGCAACAAAAATCTTTCTTTCTCTTGAGCGGATAAAAATCCTCAAAGAGGGTTGCTTCAATAGTGCAGTGGTTTTCCGAGCAGGCTGATAAGCCAAGCCAAGCTAGGTTCGATTCCCAGCTTTGGCAAAAACGTTTTGCGTTCTTAGAGTTAGGAAAATATTTGAGTTAAACTTTTACAAACGCTTTAATTTTTCTAGAAAACGGTCTATTACGGTTAAAATCACCAAACTTACATGTTTTTCAAGATTAAAAAAAGTGAAAAGTGTTTTTTCACGTTAGGGATATTTAAAACCACTAAATATCATATGTAAAATAGTTTTACTGGCAAGCGCCAAACTTCATAATGATTCTTAGGCCAACCTGGTAGCAATACGTACCATTTAGCGTTTTGTAATAAGATTTATTTTGCTCCACAGCAGATATTGTAACTACTTAAGGGACAAATCAACCGTTTATAATTTTTTGCCCTGAGGCATTCTGCAAAAAATGAAAATGGTACCTTTCACCATTTTTCAAGGGCTTTCCAATGGTGTATAACACTTGCCATTTGGTGAGGGTTCGTTTGTACACTTCCCTAGTAAGGCAATTTATGCTCGAAAAATTTAATTAAGGAGAAAACACTACATTACCCCTACTTTACAAAGGGTTTACCGTGATATACGATAATTATGACCCTAAACTTTCCCTTCACACGTTTCGAGGCTTTATCTTTGACTAGAGAACTTAACATTCCCATATCTTTAGCGTTTTCCCACTTTCTTTAACCGCTTATGCAAATCAGCCAAAGCCGGAACATTTTTTCACATAGTTCGCTAAACAATCTCCTCAAAACTAAAGAATTTATCCACCCAGATCTCTGAAGCAAAAGTCTAGAAAGTCTTGTTTATCGGAAAACATTGTCTCAAGATTTGCAGGCAGGAACGCCTGTTGTTTCGTCTAGCAATACCTGCTGAAGCTGTTGTTGTCAAGCATTTTTATTACGTTTTCTTTTTCCGCAAATGACTTGGTAATTGGAGAAAAAGCATGTGGCCAAAAAAGAGTTCGGCAGGTCTAGGCAATCCGAGAAAAAGATGAAAAAAACATCTTTAGCTGGCCGTTTTTGAGATTTTTTGGGTTGAAAATGTGAAGCAAACGTTTTTTACTGCTGATTATACGTTATACAGAGACTAAATCATTTTCTTGGGGTAAAAATTTTTTGATGACATTGTCATTTTTTGCCAAAAAAATGTGTTATAAAATGGCCAAATCATGTCCCCGAAGACTTTTTTGTCCCCTACTAAATATACCCTACTTTTTGTTTGCGTTGCGGTAATAACAATTACTGTACGATAATATCACGGCCATTGTGTCCCATTGTCCTCGCACTCTTTGAACCGCCCTTTGCATTCTTCACCGCATCTTCCGCCCCATCGTTTTCCGCCCTTCAACCTCTCCAAACGATCGACTACGACTACTTGTGCGGAAGACGCACATAAACATACACACTGATAACAGGTCAAACAGCTGTCCCGGTAGGATCGACGGGGAGGCCTTGTTTTTCCTGGGGCCTGCTTTCGTCAAGGATCGGGCCAGTCGTTTTTGTTCCGTTTTCGCCGCAAGACATGCCGGGAGTTTTGTCTGGCGCTCTCCGCAAATTTTGATGATATTTCTGAGATTGAGGGGATTCATGGAATGTCTGTGACATCTTACTGACTTGCAGAGAATAGAGCACAATTTCTTGTAGTTTAACGAAAAAATTGAAATAGAAATAAGTTAAATTGGGCCATCAAAGACTAGTGTGCCATGGATAACATTAAAATTTGAATTTTTGGGATTTTTCCGATATATCTGATCTTCAGACAGCCTTGATCTGGCTTGACGACCCTCGTAATATCCTGTGATTTCATACATTCATAGATGATTTCAACTGAAATAAATTCTTGAACTTTTTTACAAAATTTGTGATTTTTTCGATGTTTTTTTTTTGCTTTTTTACAACAAACACCGTAAAAACATCATACCGCAAAAATTAGAATGGTAGATGTATCTTCCGTGTCAGCTAGCGTCCAATATTTGCCAAGTGCTCCAAACGATCTATATACTCCCTCACCTTTCACCTTTTCTCTTTCGCCCCCTCACCCAGCCTCCTTGATCGCCGCAAACTCTTGGCGGATCTCCTTCGAGTCTTTGCATGAGAGAAGGGGGGTTTTCGCGGTATTGGCTCACGGCCGAAGGCTGAAGAGCGGCCCCTGTCTTCCCCCGTCGCCTCTCCGCCCTCACGTCAAGCATTTTTTGAGCGCCGACTCGGCGATCACGTCTGGGCCCGCGGATCACAGAGGGAAATGATGGTCGGCGGGTACGCGGAAAACGGACCCGACTCGGATATATATGAATGAATGAGAGGACCTGAAGACGCACTGGGACATCGGGTGAGAGTTGGGATGGGATGAGTGTCTCGGGCATGCTACGAGGACCTTGCAGGTGGGGACAAGTTTTGGGTTAAAAATAATTAGTACAGTAGGTGGAGATAGTGTTTGTGCAAGTCGCGTGGCTTGATAATCCTTGTCAGTAGTCTAGCGGGATATAGCAAAGAGGCTTTTATATTGCCCTGCTGCACTTTATTTACACCATAAGTGGCTAGACGGCTCAGGACGGGATCAGTTAATTATCCATGAAGAATTGGATATCTCCCTGAAAGCAAAGTCATTCATAAGCCAAATTCGATTATCTTTATTGGCCTGCTAGCAGGCTTAACCGTCTTATTTTACTTTATGGCTACCTCTTTTTATTTATCCTTTAGCATACATATATAGATCCAATAGATCAAGATTTATCTTACTCTTGACATCTCTTTCAAACTTATCCAGAGGAGCGATCCCTTGTCCAAGTTGTTTGTACAACACCAAGATCAGAAGAGGACAAAGGCCTGTAATGTTTTTGCCTCACGTCTCAAGGGATTTCCGAGAACTGGAGTGCTGATTTTTGGGTCTGAAGTTTGATCTCCAGGTGTCGTGTCCTCAAACATTTTTCAACTTTTCTAAACATTGTTTGAACTTTTCGTAGACCGAGGACATACATTAGACGTCTCCGCCAAACCGAGATTTCCCCACCCTATCGCGCCTGATTTTTTCTCCCGTTTACGGGGAACATTCGATGACTTTTTTTCTGTTGATAAGATAAGACAAGTCTATGGCCGCGCTCTCGCTTCCTCTTCCCCCCATGACATGCATTGATAAATTTTTTTAATGGGCTTTTCACTGGTTAATACGGGTTATTTCGGGAAGATATTTATTGTTTTCGCTGTGGGGGAAAATACGATAGTTATGCCGTTGCGGAGGCCATTATATAATATGAATCATGCATTTTCAAGTGGAATTGCGGTAGAAATGGCCTGTTTGTTGTATTGGTATTGTAGATTGTGAGTGGAAATTCGTGTTTACGCGATTTTTTATCGATTTGCTTGGCTACCTGTAAAATACGACGATTTTCATTCATCGAAATTTTTGAAAAATTTTCTTGTGTAACATTGTCGGCTGTTATTGTAGTGTAAAAATAATGACCTATGGAGCTTTCTGATGTCATTTTATGCTTTTATTTTAAGAAAGATTTAAAACACAGGCCATTCTTCCATATTTTTCGCATAATAATCTCTTGATCCCCGATACAATATCTTATAAATCCATCGTCTTAAAGCTACAAAATCCAATTCTCAGGACCAGACATCGCCTTTGTTTCGTATCAGATCTGATATCGCCGATCCGCGGCCGTCTGATCAGCCGCCCCGAATCGTGCGGCCGAGCTTATTTTTGCGGCCGTTTTACGATCTCGAAATCAGCTGTTATCGGGGCCCTCGCCTCCGGCACTCTCATTACTTTTGTCGTAAAAAAAAGAGTAACAGTCGGGGGCTTGATTAGCCGACTTCTGTTCCACAAAGGTCCCGTTGTCTGATCTTTTCTTTACCATTTTTTATCAGTCCAAATTGTGAGGGGAAGATTAGAGCCCGGAGGGCAAAACGAGGCGTTTTTGGGAGAGGCTGGGGTTATATTTGGCGATTAAATTTTCGAATGCGGAATTAGTAAACTTTCCAAAGCACAAAAGGTTTGATTTCAATGCATTTCATTGTAACAAAATTTTTGGGAAAAACGCAAAATTTACATGACTTTTTGAGATTTTTCGATTGTTGACTACTTTAAACAGCACGTAAAGAAAAATAATGTCTTTAACGTCCAGCTTTACTACCAATTCTTTCTCTCAGCGCAATTCTTCATCGTTTTTTCGCTCGAAAATTTCCAAAACACCTAAGTTTGATAAGATCAGCCGTCTAAACGTTAGAATTCCCAATTTCTGGGGCTGTAAAAAGTCTTACAGCATAAGAAACAAAGGGCGAGGGGAATTCCAGACGAGCGATAAGTGGAGGAGAGGACGAAATTCGGGGCCAGAATGGGAAAAAAGGCCGTAAATTTGAGATCATCGAACTGTTTCGGATGGGGTCTGGGATTACGAATTGGAGGGGAATTTTGACCGAGTTTTAGGGGGGTTTTTAGCAAAATCAGAGTTCTATGCGACCTGTAGAGGGCCAAAATTGATCTCGGATTGCATAGAATTTTTTTTGCCATCAATGATTTTTTGTTTTCAAATTCTGTTCTAGCTTAAAAATTTCATTTTTTTGCAACAAAAATCGCAAATTTGGGGCTGTTTTGGATATGCGCGAATTTTTGATTCATTTATCATGTATTCTCCGCCATGCCAGCCCTTAATGCATCCATTTCCCTCATTTTTGCCCCTAAAAACTTGAAAAATCTCCGAAGAATCCTTTTTTTTGCAAAAAAAAATTCATTTTAATCCCAGTGGACGCAGAATAAATGGCTTCATTATCTCATATCCGATTCGACGAGCCCACCTTTCCTCTTATTTACGTCTTACAGAAGCCCGAATTGCTTTTGACCTTTTATATAATGTACTCATTAATTATGCCGACTAAAACGCGAAGAGCTCTCGGCGGTTGGTGTTTGGGCCGCTAAAGTCTTAGGCTTCGTCTGATTTATATAACTTTTCGCAGTCTAACACCTTAGGCGATTTTGAATTTAAAGGTCAAAATTAGGCAAGTTAATTTGTCGTATATTCCAAAAATTATAAGATTACTGTGTTTTTTAAAGATGAAAATTGATTCCAAAATCCCCTCCACATGTTCCGAGGCCTTGTCGTTGGCTGGAGGGCTTACAATTTGCATAATAATCATGATTTTTTGACAAGTTTTTTTGAGACTTTTTTAGCTAAAAGCTTGGAATATTATGCAAATTAACTAACGTCGGAACTAGTTTTAGAAATGTCACGGTGTCTTATTTTATATTCCTAAGTTTTAGCAGACATTTGCAAATTTTAGACCTTAAAAATTGCATATTTTTTCTGAAAATGTGAGTATTACGAAGATTAATTTTAACAATTTAAACGCATGAACTACAAATTTCCTAACCCGAAAGAATTAGTCTAGCCCAAAAATTTGCATAAAGACAAAGAAATTTCCTTCTCAAAAGAAATCTTCCCACCTTTCGGCTAGCCGAGGCCTCGACGATCATCACGTCGGAAGGCCCATAAATCGGCCTTTGTCTGGCCGTTTTCGCCGATTTCGATCATTTTGCGACAATAACCAATTTGAAGAAGGCCTTTCTTCTCCCTTCTTTTTTCCGAAACAGCTGAGACTTTGTGTCGAATATTATGACTTTCGCTGGGATCGAAGAGGGGATTACTCGGAAAAAAATTGACAAACTACCCCAGGTTCAACGTTCAAACTTTCTTTTTCGCACGCCCTCCGGGCATAGGTCACATACGAATTTCAGGAAATTTTAGCTCGCGCTTTGCAGCTACAGCCGCAATTTTTCAGTAACACAAATTTTTTTTCATTCCCTCAAATTTGTAATCCCCATTTTTTCGGTGTCTAGCTACCATATTTTTTACTATTATTTACTCATTTCGCCCGTAACCACACTTTTGCTCCACAATACAACAATTATTTTGACCGAGTAATCCCTTTGTTAATCCGGGAGCAATTTCCAATTACGAAACGGAAGATTTTCTCGTGTTATCTGGCCTAGTATAATCTTGCATGTTAAATAGTGTTTTCGACGTGTGACGCATTCACGCGCTTTTGCAGGCTCATCTTGGGCGGTCGAAGGCAGTTTTTATGAAAACGAACTTTGGCAGTTTTTTTCGCGAAATTCGATGCTCGGATTTTCTTGAAATTTAACACACATGTTGTGTGTAGACCAAATATTAATTGAGCGAAGTTTCACCTTTGTGCTTGCAAGGTTAGTCAAGATATTGCCAATATATTCAAATCTATGCAAATTAGACTAGAGAGCGGGGAAAAAACTTTTTTGCCTATATTTTTGTGAATTTTAAGCGGAAAAATGAACTTTTCCGTGTAAAAATTATACTCCACAGCCCGTAGGATATCCATTTTAATTTTGAAAATTTTCAAAAATTTTAAAAATTCAACTTTTTTGGTTTTTTTTTCAAAAAAAGTTTTTTTTCACATTTCCCACTTTGCTTCAACGTAAATTTCTTCCCATACATCACTACATGAATTACTTTGTTTTTGCAAGTCTTTCCACGCGCCTTCCAGCCCCCTCTCCCACCTCTTTTCGGCCAAGAAATACCCATTTTTTGCACTTTTTTCGTCTTTTTCTTGTTGATCGCCCTCAAAAAAGGAAGTGTGGGAATTTGGTTATAAGCCGAGGGGCCAGAAGAAAAAACGAATTTAGAGGAATGAGCAGAAGAAAAGTCCAAGACATTTTTCTCTCTTGGCCCGATGAAGTTTCATTCGTGTGGACCAATTTTCGGGCGTTATAAAGTGTTCATGGATTAGATTGTAAACCAATTTTGAATACATTTTCTGCACTTTTGCAGTGGCCACTGCAGTGGATTAAAATTGTGATTTGTTATGATTGGTACATATTAATTTTTGAGATCTTAAAATGCATGAAATTTTGCAAAATTTTAAAAATCTTTTTCTTGCAATTTTTCCCTTTTTTGGGCCCATAACCTTCGATAGACGGAGCTCTTTTGGACTGTTGCGTTATATGGTATTATTCGATATAATGTTTAATCGAGCGTTCTAACGCGTTTTCATGTTCTATGAATTGTCGAAAAAATATTTTTCTGCCCTTTCCCAAAAAACTATTCGACGATTTTTGGTCTTTACTTTTGAGCTAAATCCAAGAGAGCCTGTATACTCTAAAAGCAGCCTATAACGAATTATTTAGCCCGAGGGAAATTCCATTTTTTGGGCCCAGAAACTTTTTACAGTCAAAAAATCTTTCTTGCCCGTTTTTTTAATTTTTTTTCTCAATTTACCACGTTTTATTACTGGTTTCTCACTTTTTACTATTTCCTAAACGTTTTTGTAACATTACTAGTATACCTGGCAATACTGTAACAACCAGAAATCTCACCTCTAGCCGTCCAAAAGATAGTTTCGCCCTGCAAAAAATGTAGTCTCAAGATACTAAATTATTGATTTTTTGCATCACAGCGAACTTTCACTACGTCAAAAACGTAGTAAAAAGGTCTGCAATTTTTCTGACTTGAAGAACTAGAGGACAGAAACAGCTAATCAGCCGAAATTTTGGGTAGACGGGGTCTGAAATGGGGCATTATGAGTTCATTTACGGACGTATCGTATACGAATTTCAGCGGGCGTAGCGTTCAAAGGGCACATTTTAGAGCGGTTACATGGAGCGTAACGAAATTTTGATAGTATACGGGTATATGTGGTAAGTAAATTTTTTTTTTATTTTCGACATCGTTTGAGTTTTTGATGGCATTGTAGTAAGTAACATAATAGATGCTGATCGGTTTGGTATTGGATCCTAATCCAACAAGATTGGATTCTAATCCAATAAGATTGCATTTTAATCCAATAAGATGTCACTTATCACTTAATAGGATGCCAGCTTCATGATTTTTTAATACCGAGTCACTCTTAGGGATCAAATTCTACAATAAAAATTAACAAAACATCGGCGAAAAGTCTGCTGTTTTAACCTCAATAAATACATTAGCACCATGTGAAATTGCAGTACCTCTCTATTTCCAGCTTCTACGCCACATCTATAGCATAGATATGACGTAGAAGTTATTTTATATCAAATCTGATTTCCTTCCTTTTACTCCAAAACAATAACGATAACCGGCTTAACCCTAGCTTTACTGACTCTTTCGTAGGCCCGCGGAAATCTTGTATTCCCATGTACATCTCCAAAATGGACTCCTCGACTACATCGGATTGTGATATCACCAATCGACGATGAAGATTCGATAAGTCGGCTTTTGGCCATTCTTAAAAAGTTTGGAAAGCTTCTTCTAGAAAAATTAGTGCTTACAAGTCTTACTGAAAGAGCTGTGGGGTGACTGCTGTCTTGAATGCGGCTACATGGCGTTATCTCTCTATCAGTAATAGAAAGATAATGCTATATAGCCGAATTCTACCGGCTGAAAACCAAATTTTTATGCCGAAATTGGCCTGACTATCAAAAACCCCTATTACAACAACCTTTTTAGATTACAGTATCTAAAAAAGCAACCTTTTTAGATACTGTAATTGCAATTCGTAATTCCGATGATTTTGAAAAAAATTATTTCCTAATCAACTTTTCGCAAAACTCACCGTATTTTAAGCGGCTTAACTTGACTCATTCTATGGTTGACAGTATTACTTTTTCCCTTTCAAATTTTTCCTTCCGTATGTCTCCATTCATTTTCCGAATCCCACTTTCTATCACTTTCATAATCAGATTACCAAGTAATATCGCCACCGGAATTAGCATCCCGTGATGACTAAAGCCAATTACGCAACTTGACATTCAGCCAAAAAATGGGAGAATCTTCTCCACTTTGAGAGGAGAGATCTCCACCCGGATATATCATCTTTTGCGTCGCTCGACGATCGTCAAGGTGAAATTGGTCCGAGGCTCTGAGGCGTGATCTAATCTCCCTCCACGCATTTCTTTGTTCTGGACCTCACTGAATGGGAGCGGGCTGGTCGAGAAAAGAGAAGGTAATAAAACCGTAGGAGACCGTGGAGACGCAAATTTGAATGCAACATTTGTCTTGGAACCGAATTTAGATAAAAAAATCGAAAGGAAAAATCGCTGGCTAGTTAGGGTAGAAACCAAAGCCGAACTCGTAGAAAGTGAAAGCAATCGTTCTCCTCTAACCAGCAGCTGTATCTTGAGGATACTTTTGGATACCAAATTTTGAGGATACGTTTTGATACCAAATTTTGAGGGCACTTTTTGATGCCAAAATCGGAGGATACTTTTTGATACCAAATTCAAAGTCAGCTCGATTTTTTCCAACCTTCATGTCGAATGAAACGACTTTTCAGATTGTCTAAATTTTCGTTCGCTTTTTCGAACAAAATACAAGCCAATTATCCTATGATCTATCGTATCATATCATTTCCTCAGAGATCTCACGTAGCCAGACCTTCTAAGCGCATGTTCGCCATGAATTTCGTTGATAATTAAACAATTTCGGTAATCTTTGCACGATTCGGCGTCAAAATATATCCGGATTAGGGCTGTCTCGGCATTCCCTTGAATATATCCCCTTTGGCATTTCGAGTTTTTTCCGGCTACCACAAGCTTCCGATTACTTTACAATTCGAGTAAACATCGGAGTTTATTTTACCATAAATACCGATGATTGGTCTCTGATGACAAATTTTTCGATTTTACAGCGGTGTTGACGTTTGATAAGGCTTGGTAAAACCCCTTAACTTGCTTTAACAGCTCTAAGCTTTAGACTACTTCTTAAAGGTCCGAAATAAACACAGCATTTTCCTCATTAATTATTTGTTTTGACCCCTCCACACGTTCCGAGGCCTTGTTGTTGGCTGGAGGGCTTACGGTACTCATAACAACTGATGGTATCTTTCATATCACATGGAAATACGTTGCTGTTATCAGTGTCAACTGACGTCGGAACAGTCTTTCCCGCTTTTTCGCTATAATCCATTGGGTTTTGAGCTCGATCAGAGATTGAATTTGCATTTTTTCGGAAACTCATGTTTTGAGAGGTATGATTATTTTGTGAGTTGTTATCTAAGAGCCTTGAAAAGAGCTGAGATGGCTATTTTAGCTATCAATATTTCGGAAAAATTGGGGAAATTTAAAACCTTTGGGTTCCATGTTTGTTCCATTTTTAACCTATAACTTCTATTTTTCATTTTATTTTTGGTCATAATTCCCGTTGCGCCCTACTCCGTCAAATATTATACTATATCCATTTTTTCCTCCGTACTCTCGAACACATCTTGGCAAACTTTTGGCAAAAAACGGGCAGAAATCCGCTTCGAAACGGCGCTCCCTCTGTATGTTTCAACACAGGGCCTCTGTGTGTACACAAAAAGTACATACATGGTGCTCCAAGTTTTTTTTTTGGTTGAAAAAAGACTTTTTGAAAAAAAAATGTATGGGCAGGTAAGCCGCCTTAGGGGTTGGAGATCTGCGAAGTGAAAACTTGTATTTCCTCCATCGACTACTTTCACCTCAAAAATAAGAGTGATAAATGAGGGGAAACGGGGGGCGGCTGGACTAGCAAAGTGCGCAAAGGAAGCGAGGTTGAGGTGGGGTTGAGGGAGAATGGACGATTCCTCATTTAGCGGTACCTGAGCTGATTAACCAAAGAGGTTTCGAGGGGGTTAAGGATGTTGGGGTTGATGCGAGCCTTGTTTTAGAGGTCGTGGAGCGGCTTGAAGGTGAAATTTTGGCCAAACAAAATTTTATTCATTTTCGGAATTATCGACTAGTATATTTAGTATGATTGCTTCAAGAAGTCTTTACGACCATTTGGCTTAAAAACCGATTTTCCAATCGCGTTTTAAGCAAGTGGCCATGAAACGGTCACCGCCAATAAGAGGGACGTCCGCCGACTCTACTCCCTGAAAAATTTCCGACTGTTTTTGGCCTTAATTTCTGAGAGATGTGCCTTTTACAAACGAGCATCCCTCTTTTTACACTCTAATTTTTTTTGCGACTACCATCCATTTTTTCCCAAAATTTTTGCTACTTGGTTGTAACCAATCTAAGTCGACTTAATTTTACGACCTGAGCTCTCAATTTATTATCCCTTCAAAAAACCCCCAAACTCCTTGCAAAAAAACGCCAAAATTCCCCTTTTTAATTTGTCCCTACACGCGTTACAACGTAAGCTCACAGACATTTGCAGGCCTCCTCGAAAATCACACATTTAGCAGATCGTTTAGTCCTAATCCCCGTCCTACAATACGTTTAATGCGCTTCCGACATTCCGGACCTATCCGATTACGGTATGACATCCGAAGTTGTCAAAAGTCCTCTCCAATTTTTATCCGTCTTAACATTTCCGCCGAGGAAATTTGTTTTTTCTCCAGTCAAAAACTAATTTCATTAATAGCTGTCCATCCAAATGGTCAGCTGAGGGAAGGGAGGGCCGGAGGCAGTCCCGCCACTGATGAAATGCAAACTTTTTGGCTTGAGTGTGATTTACCAAGTGACAAAAGCCGAGAGGGGAAATAAGTTTCCAATTTTTTCGGGGAAAACGTAAAAGTTCACCGCGACCTCAAATTTGAGTATATTTCCAAAAAATTGTAGTAACTCGGGATGTGACACTCAAATTTGGTTCAAATTTTGCCCGTACAATCTGACTAGGTCACATTGCAAGGCCTAAAAATTTTAGCAGGCAGATTGCAGGGAGCGCTGAGATATTCAAGAATCTTTGAGGCCGAGAGAGAACATGCGAAATCATAGAGCGGACAAACCAAAAGAGGTTCGTATTTTACAATATTTTTATCACGATCTCCCGTTCCCATTTTGTTTATCGCCCAAGATTTTTATAACCGATTGCAAAAAACTTTTTATTTTCGTAAAAAAAGCGCCCCAAAGAGTAAATATATTCCAATTTTATAGCGATCTCTTATCATCGACTGATGACAAAACATGTGATAAAATTGCTCCCAAACCCCTAATATTTGTGCTCAACAGCTCATGATGAACGCATATGTTGAGGCGGAAAAGGAAAGGGAGAAAAAGATGGAACAGAGGATTTTTGAGATTTTGGAGGTATTCAGAATTTTATAAGATACAAAATTAACTGTATCATCAATCTTTTCGATTATTTTGGACATAATTTTTGTTGACAACAAAATTTCTAGGCCTTACATTTATATCTCTCCCCCAATTCTGAATCCCTTTGTCACATTTTTGCTATTTCTAAGACGAAGATATCACTCTCGTATTTTACAACTTCCCTCAATATTTGTCGCGTTTGAAACTCGATTGCCCGTCATTTTGAGAGATGTTAAATAACAGTTTACATTTTTTAGAATCTTCAAGAATCCCGAAGAACTACCACACGTTCTTCGCGCTCCTCGATTTTTAGCGTCGTAGTAATTCTTGGGCCCGCCTGGAGAAAAAAAACCCGCTGGAGAGAGGGTGAGTTTAAACCAACGTGAAAAAAATTTCCAGCTCTAGTAGGGAAAAAGTACTGTTTAAATTCGAAGGCAGTCTAAAAAACTTAATCGATTTTACTTTCGCTTTTTTTCGCCAAGGTAGTAAAGTTACTTTTGGCCGTTTTCAGCGTTCAGAAAACTCTAACCAAGAGGAAAGGAAGATGGTCTCGGCAAGGGACCATCCCGAACACTTCAGCGAGTTGCTGAACTCGAGCAGCGAGGAATGGCCGGCCCTTAATTCGAGCCTGTTGGCTGGGAATCCGCGGCAGTTTGGCTCACAATATGAGGGATTCGAGAGCGCGGATCGAAAGTAAGAGTTACCATTACTCATAGCACCTAGCATTTAACACTCTCTATAGCCGCTAGAGCTACAGAAAACGGGTTAAAAATCAAAAAATTTTTTCTAAATCTTCGAAATTTCCCTATTTTTTCTCCAAATTCTCGCAAGCCATGGTAAAGTACGTGTTTGTCCTTCCCTTTCACCCCAAATTATCCCAAATCCAAGCTATTTTTAATCGAAAATCCAAGTGCCACTTCCAAGACAAAGATAATTCGTCACTTCCCAACCGGAACAACGGCATTATTTTTTTCGCTCTTTACTGACATACTTCGTGTATCCTAATAGGCCATAGGGGATCAAATTAGGCCCGGCTTGCAGACGTTACACAATCTTGCATTACTTTTTTGATACTATCGTAGGAAACGGCGAGCCAGAGTTTTTTTTTTTGGTTACCAAGAGGTTGCTTATAGTTTGTGGTTTTGAAGGTATGCAGTAATAATGACTTCCCCTTAAAGTAGAAGTAATTTCGACTCGACTTCAGGCAATTGCAAGTTGATTTGACCTTATTTTAGCGCACTTTTGGCCAAAAATTTTCCAAAGCTTAATAGATCTCATCAATTCGTTTGATATGTCCAAGAAAAAACAATACTTTTCGGTCATCAGGGCTTGTATCTTCCAATTAAAAAAATTGTCATGCTGCGTTTTTCCATTAGAACCTACACAAGCTCCCAAAAACACTGTTACTCATAATTTATTCAAATTTTTTCAGATCGCCGCTGCAGCGCCGAGCAAATGGTCCAAGTCGAATGTCGGCTCAAGGTTTGTTGAGCGAGACTGTGATTTTATGTTGTTTTCTGTGTGCTCCTTCCAAAAAAACAATTCTCCCGTTTTTGAGTGAACTTTGGATGGATGGGCACCGGTGAAGAGAAAAAAAGGCAAAAAAGAAGCTGTTTTGTCATTGTTTTCGAATCGCAAAAAGGTGGATCGGGCATGCGGAGAGGGCAGAGTGGAGGCCTCCTCCTTCAAGAGGGTGTTAAATTCATTAAGCCCTCAGGGCTTGAGGTTTAGTGGGGCCTCACATTATCATCCATAGGTCCGGAAATAACGTGATTTTCTAAAGCGGGCTTCCCTAATTCCAGAAGTTCGGATACGCAAAATTTAGTCATCATGGACTAAAATTTTGGTCTCACGAACTCCATGAACCTTTCAGGTTGTTTTGACCGTAGTGGTTTTGATTGTGGAACATGAAGCAAAATAGAGGAATTATTTTTATAATCCCTCACATTTTTGATTCAAAGTGCTTTATTGGAAGAATAATTTATAACAGACCTTGAGCCTATTTGTTTTTCATAATCAACCTTGAAAACATTCATAGTTTTGGCGAACCGCAGCAAATTTCGTACCTATTCTTCTGGCCCAAAAACCCGCGTTCCTAAAAATTTTTTGTTGCGAAGTAACGTTGAAAACAACGATCACCCCACCGTGAAGCCGATCCATCCACCTTATCAGATCAAAATCAGCGCCGGGAATAACCGAAAACAGCTCTGGGTGTACACTTTTGTATTTCTGTTGTATCGCTCGTCCTTTTCTTGAACTTTTTGTTTTCTCGCCCCACCTTACCCAGGTTTTTACTCGTTAAAGGTCGGTTTATCAGCCCTGATAACTCCCTTAACTTTTTGGGGGCTGACATATTGGCGGGTTTTTATCGTGTCGTGCTTAAACGTTTTTTGGCGAATTTTTTTGGGGAAAACAGTTGGACTAGTGACGGGAAAATGTTTTCGGCCAGGCCATTGTAAAGTTTTCGAACTGAACGTGAAAGCGAAAAAGTTTCAGGTTTCGCGGAACGTAAAAATAGTTTTAAGTGTTCCGAAAGATGTAATAGTCTAATTAAATTTCCCAAATTTCCCTGAAATTTGGTTGGCCACGCCTTTAAAACTAAGAAAACTATGTTTTTTTCAACGCAAGACTATATTTTTACCTCTTGAATACAACTTTTTTTATTGTTATATTCGACTAAATTACAACCTTTCATTGCCAAATTTCACAGTATACAAAGTCCGAATTGTATGATAACATTTTGGCACTCAATCCCCTCTAATTATCGGACTTCCCCTGCTGCTTTACATATGTTTCTATATTCGTTTCCTGCAACATAACGCGTTTTTTTCGGAGCCATAATCTCAAAAAGGTTGGCTCAGTGAACCCTCGGATTCCTTTACAACCGCATTTCCGCTCGGTTTTTTGTAAACTACCAATTCCAAAAATGCTCGCGGCCAAAACAGGCAGGCAAAACGCAGCGTAGAATAAATCCGAGTGGGTGGTGGAAAGTGTACATGCAATTAGGGTCAATTTAGATCCCACCGGCTCGTCCTGAGAGGGTTGATGTAATCCTCAAAAAATTTGTCTCGTTGTTATACCGTAATTGAAGGTACTATGCGGCTTATCGTGATGAATTGAGAAATTCGTCTTGCGTGGACAAGGTTTTTCGTTATTTACATGGCCTGGGAAATGGCAATTTGCTTTTTGGAGTCACCCAATTCCGGTTTACACTGTTCTGTGAGGAGTTTTTGAGCGCTTAAAGGTTGTGGAACCTACAAATTTGGGTAAAATACAAATTTCACTCAGAACGAGAGGCCAAACATTGGCCGGCCCAAATAGCGGACTCTGAAGTGGTTCACGCGAGGTCAAAACATTACTACGACCTAGAAAGTGATCTATATTTTATAGTAATTCCAATTACAGCGATTGCTGCTTTCTCATTACTACTCGAAAACAATTTGTAATCCATTTATGAGCAATGTCAATTACTGCCAAAACCCCTAGGTAATACGCAACTGACAATTGGCGGGTCAGAATTTATCTGTTTACATCTTGCCTGACCGCAGATGTAAGGAGAAACTACGAAAGGATTAGCCGTTTGTACTAAAATGCTACGAATTACGGGGGGCCCAGACTAAAACTCTGTTTGCATGTTTCATTTTTAATTTCCGTTTGTGCTTTTGCATATCGTGATTCGTATTTTATACTTGTAATAGTGATTTCACTTTCAGTTGACTCGTTTTCCGAGTTAACCACCATTACAAGTGTTGTTTCCGAGTTTGCATTCACAATTTTTTTCGTGGTTTTTGTTGAATAACAGTAATTGGTGCAATTTGAATAAAACCGGTTTCTTTTTCAGCTCCAACCCTGGCGGAGACACTGAGACAGACGTACGGCGCCCAGCCAGAGACCATGGGCGTCCAACAACAGCAGGCCTTCATGGCCCAACAACTGCAGCAACAAACTAACAACTCGGCCAAGAACCCCAAATTGTACAAGACCGAGTTGTGCCGATCGTGGATGGAGAGTGGCCGATGTAACTATGGAGAGAGGTAAATTTTGTGAACATATCCTTTCTTATTTTTGGAACAAAAAATCCTAAAACCCTTCGCGATCAAAAAAGTATAAATGAACCGTTCATACCCCAATTTCACGCATATTCTTATTACGTGCGCCATTCAGATGTCAATATGCCCACGGAGAAAACGAGAAACGACCAATCCCCCGCCATCCCAAGTACAAAACCGAAGCGTGCCAGTCCTATCATCAGTCCGGCTATTGTCCCTATGGTCCTCGCTGTCATTTCATCCACAACGAAGAGCCCCATGTTCTAGCCCAACTTGTTGCCCAGAATGCCGCAGCTGCCGCCGCATCGAAGGCCCAACAACAACAGACTCTTCAGCAGGCCCGAAGCCAAGCCCAACTAAGCAACGCCTCCCCTCAACGACCAAACTCTCTGTTTGCCTTGAGTAGGACGAATTCAGTGACGAGAACCGGTGGAAATGTGAATGCTATCGCCACTGCTGCTGCCATGGCCGCCGCCGCTTTCAGTCAACAACCGCAATTGTTCAGCCGACAGTTCCAGAACCAGCTTCAGGTAATTTCTGTCAATTTTTGTTTATCCCAACAGAAATTTTGCAAAAAATATCTTTGAGACAAGATATAAAATCCTGTTGCTTTTCAGATGTTCAGCGAAGGTTCTGTTACACCAAAACCAGCCCAGAAGCAGCCTGATGCCCTCGGATCTACCGGTGATTCCCCTATTCCATCCTCGAACGACTCTGGAACCGAATCCCCACTTGGCTCCTTCTCGCCGGGATTTGAAGCCGAAGACCCATTCTACAACCGCAAAGAGGTCAAGTACAACCCTGTTGGATGTTACCCTCAGATGACTCAACAGACTCACGTTGAGTGGTCGTTGGCTCAAGAGTTCTCCGAACTTTCGCCTTATGGTCCTAAGTCCTATAATCGCATAGCGCCTCCACCAGGGCTCCAACAGCAGCGTCCTGACATGGCCCCACTGAATCTTCTTCCTTCATCTTTGAGCAGCGATGTTGAAAGCGGATTCTTGTCGTCGGCTTCGTCAATCGCGTCAAACAAGTCCACGTCGCCGTTGGCCGGATCACCGCCAACTGGAACCACGCCGCTTGCGTCGGCCTGGTCTACAGGAACTACACCCACTCAAGCCGGACGATTGCCGGTCTTCGAGCGCCTCTCCAATGGACCGTAGAGTGGGCCACGGGATCAGCCAAGTGGAATCTCACTCTCCTTTAGGAGGTTGAATCAAATTGTAGTTTTTGTACAGAATCTGTGTAGATGTACAGCCCCCAACCTATCGCTCTCAACCCTTCACCCATCGTCATCTCTCCCCAATGCATCGGAATACTCAAAAACAAAAACTAACAACATTTTCGAATCTTCTACAAAGTTTTTCGTATTTCTCTCGGCTCAAGGATGGGTTCCGCGGTCCGAGCGAGAGTAAACTTGATGTAAAATTATTCCCTTCAAATCTACACCAATTGAACTCTACGATCGGACTGGGAACCCGTCATTGGCTAGGATTCTAATATTGTAATAATTCTTTTGTTAATATTATTTCCATTAACCCCAATGCTTCAAGTTCAACTCGGTTCATACTAAAGGTTTATTTGTAAGGTTCTAAATTAATGTATGTCTAATGTAAGTTTCATGTCCTCACAAGTCAGGTTTCCCCACTCTAAAATGCCTTTCACCCGCCTATTTAAGAGAGAAAATTCGCCCCTTATATTATTATAATATTATTATATCTTAATTTTGGTCAACTCCATTTTGCAAATAATCGTATTCGAAGCAAATAATTGTAAATGTCGTCTAGCTCCTCTTATACCTGCATTTTCCGGTAGAACGAAATTAATCCTCAAAAATGGCCCCCATCTTACTGTAATTTGCGAAATTTTCTCTCAAGGCCCTAATTGTTTGATTTCCGCCGTCTTCCAACGACTCAATTTTTTGCAGAAGAAGCTTTGAGGCATTAGGAATGATCAATTTCTTTGTTCGAAGAAGTTTTTCATTCCTTTTGCCCCAAAATGGAAACAATTAGGGCCTTGGGATTACAGAGATTTTCCGAAAATCTCCAGGACTGCCTAGCTACTCGAAATTCTTACGTAGTAATCCCATAGTAATACTCGTTCTTTGACCAGCTCTCCCCCCAATATTTCCCCCTAATCCGGTGACTTTTGCGACCAGTGAAAACTCGAAATCTTCATTGTTATTTTCGTAATAAGCTCAAATATTTCAAAATAAGATGAGTAGTAATAGGGTCTAATAGTAATAAGTCGGTTGTTTTTGGCTCAATATTCCCCTGGAGTTGCCTCCCCCTCCAAAATTTTTGTTGGTTTCTTCGAAAATTGCGGACTTGAAAAGCTGCTGCAGCCAGCTTTTCGTCCATTTTTCGACGATTATTTTATTGTTTTTGATAGTGATTCTCTATTTTCCTGCTATTTTCGCCAAAAAATCTTCTCTGAATTGTCCGAATCCGGATTTTCGGCCAAGATTTGAGTTGAAAATACGGTAATTTCGAGAGTGATGTAGTTGATAGATTCTATTCTGCTAGCTGTCATTAGAATTTCTCTAGAAACACATATGTATATCGGTAGCTTTTGTACATTAGGCGAGTAGACTTCTTTATCCCCCCGTTGTACTAACCTCCAAGTTTTGTTGCAAAAGTCTTGGCATTTTCGTCGAGGCCGTTTTTAGGGACTGGGCTATACATTTTCGCCATTTTAATTGTTTTTTAATCTCCCAAATTTTCAAAAAATACAGTAGCCCAGCCCCTTAAATCGGCCAATAATTTAATCAAGCCTCCTAACCCACGTAAAATTTCTTCTTTTTTATTGGACAAACACATTGTGGACTAGTAACTTATTATTATTTCATCCTCTTCTTAAATCCCCCGCCCTAATATTTTTGCGTCCCATTGAGAATTTTATCCGTATTTTTTTGTTTAGATTAGAGTTTCAACATCTAATTTTATTAATCAAGAGTTCTTTTGTATTTAGAAAATAAACAAAAATTATTCGAGAGAAGCCCTAAAGAGTGTAATACAAAAAGTTCAAAAAGACCAAGAATTTTGATGATGTTATAAATACAAGGCTACTTTGGTGTCATAAAGGGAAAGGAAAGAGGATTTATTTTATGGGAGGTCTAAAAATGGGGCGAATTACATCGGAACGGCAAAAAATTTTGCTTTAAAAGCCCAAGTCATGATAAGGTAATAAAGGAGTACAACTCACGAAATGTTATCAGTAATGCATTAGATCGCAACAGAAATATTATAAACTTTTCAAAGCTCACCGATTATCTTTCAATTTACTGGAGAAAAAATATTGTTATGAAGAAAAGCTATCAAAAAACATGCTATAAGGTGATATCAGATTTACAAAATATGTTATTATGATGGGAGGTTGCGGAATTTAGTAGAATGGAACCGGATATGGAGCGGGTTGAGATGGAATACCAAACTTTTTGACTTTTGAGGTAATAATGGTCGTATTTCCTTTAGTATAAGTGACAGCTCCAGATTCTGAAGACAAATATTGATAAACAACAAATTCCCAGTAGTAAAGGAAAGTTTAACGTGAAAATAAACTCACTCTTACCAGCAGGGGCCATAGAAAACCCGGGGAAACATTTGTGATCAATCTTTCTTTCGGTTACGCACTCAAACGTCAGATATGGAATGACTCGGCAGAAGTTAATCAAGGCAGCAATTTTTTTGGAAACCTCCGAAGGTGCTCCCAGCACATCCATCTCAAACTTGACGCGTTTCAGCGATTTTTGAGACTGGAAGATCCTCTTGAACAAATTCTCGTAATGAATGACGTCATCCAAGTCAACGAACAAATTCAGCTCTTCAACGCGACGGTAGATTCTAAACTCGGAAAATATAAAAGGGAAATAAAAACCTACCCCAACTGACCCAAACCAGGATAATTCTTCATTTCTTCCACATAAATGGTCAACTTTTTGTTTCGAGACTCGCAAATAACCTTGTGATTGAGTTGAAAAGTCTTCATTCCACAAGAAATCGACTGAATTTTCTTTGCGCGTTGAAGCACGAGATGGAGCGCAAAGCTGACTTGCACATCATGATCGTCCAGATCTAAATTTCGAGTGATTTCACGGAAAATAAAGCTTACATCTGAATCTCTTGTTCTTGGAGACGTGGCTGAAGTACGAGGGGATTTCCAGATCCATTGGGGCTTCGAGAAAGCTCAAGAGGTCCAAAGGCTTCGGATTCAGGCTAAACAATAAACAAAGTAAAAAATAGCTTCTACAGAGATTAAAACAGTTGAAAATTCCCGGCAAAACCGACCTTATGTTAACTTTTTCTCCATTGAACCTCTCCATGGTCATAAAAATCTCAAAAGTCTCCTGGCCGCTCAACCTGGCGTCGCATTTAGTGACCCGGCTAAAGATGAAAGGACGTGCTCTTGGGAAAGCGCGCTGAAATCCATACAACACTACCATTAATCAATTCCACCTAAAGCGACAATAACAATAAAAAATGTCAAAACTCACAATTGCTCTGAAAGTTCGGACTGTGCTGTGACGGAAAATGACGTCATTACCTTTCACTTCAACCTTGTTGATGTAATAATCGATAAAGAGCGGCAAACAACTCTTCGCAGCGAGTTTTGGTTTAGTGGAGAGCTTTGGAAATGGCCGTGGCTTGCGGAAATCGATCCCGTTGCGAATATATACATATTCATCGAAGGTTTGCATCGTTGAAGTCTTTTGGAGAAGCAACAATCGACCACAACGTCAAATTGGCGTGCGCGCACACTTGCGACAACAACTTTTGTTGCGAAACCAAAAACAACATAGGGCGCAAGCTGCCAGCAATATTGATTTGGCACACAATGCCAAGATTTTCTCGAGACGGTGTTACAGTATTATGTGAGCCGACGGGAAGATTACTAGCGACGTTTTACTATTGTATGGCATCTCAGACCACTTTTAACGCCCATGGGCACCAAATCCATTACAATATTACATTTCGTTTATTAACAAAGATAATATGATGTCATGACCGTGTAAACATGGTTAGAGAAATAAATAACAAAGATGTTAGTAAACAACAAAATAGGTTCTTATTCGAGTGGAGCGCCCTGCATGAATGGGAGTGCCAGATTCCCCCTTTTAAAGGTAATGTTGATGTTCTCATGGCGATAATAATCGTAATTCGGGTCCTCTGGAAATAGATCCATTATCAGCCGGTCTACAGAGACTCTTGCGGCAATATTAGTCAGTTCTTTCCCAAAATGCGGCCTACTAACTTACCCACATCGAGCTTTTCCAAGTCATCGCAACATTGTAAAATCTCGATATTCCCGGTTTCAAAGAAAAACGCAATGTCTGGATAACGTTCCGGAAATTTCATCACCGATTCCCATTTGGACACCTTATTATGGCCAAAGTTTTCTTCCATTTCGAGGTGAAGATTGATAGACGTTACACTTGGGAAAGACTTGATGAAAGATTGGAAAAACCAGTGGTTCTTGTTAAACAATTCCACTGACAAGTCGAATCCAAGCTCCTCAACAGTCGTATTTACGCTGTAAAACAAAAATTTAGAGTGCTGAGTCCAACTTGACATTTCTCATATTACACTAGGCGTATTATGTCTTCATCCTAAAAACTCAAACAAAAATGAAATACTTACTTTAGAAAGTGAAACCCTTTGATGTTGAGGCGATCTACCACAAAATGCAGCTTTTTCACTTTCGTCTCGAGGATTACTTTCATATTTACTTGAAATGTATTAATATGACAGTTAATGGTTTGGAGATTGGCCCCAGACAACGTTTTATCCATTGCATAACAGATCTTCTCATCTACCAAACTAAGATCTGCAAGATTTAAAACAATATAACATGAGAGTTTTTTATAAGTCCCTTTATTATTCCGGGCAAAAAACATACCCCGAGCGAAATTTCCGGCTGAAAAATGTTTGAAATTCTGAGCAAGCTCTAATGACGTAATTTTTTGACTCAAGAATAGGATGTCCATTGGATGGGCTGGAAATGCGAGTAAACGGAACTCCCCGGAAACTTCGGTCGTCTCTATGTAGATATTGGACTGATTTGACTCATTTCTAACTTCGACTGAGGTAGCACGATTTAGAATCAGATTACAGGACCTTGGCACAGCTCGCTGAAAAGAAGAAACCTTTTAATTTAAAAATTTTTACGCCTCTACGGAAATTTTTGCATTAATAATATAACTCATCTTCTAGATGAGTCACAATTTGCCACATAACCTTTTCTTATGTAAGATAAACGCATATTAAACCCACGCAAGTGCAAAAAAAATCGAAACAAACGTTATTTTCAACGCATTTTTCAGCATAATTCAAGCAAACATCTAAAATAAGGTAATTTTGAACAAAATCAATGAAATTTCAAACGAAAACTCACTAGACTATTGAAAAAAGCCGACCACAGGTTTAACCATTAATTTTACCAGCCACAAACGTCTTTCCAGCGCAAAATTCAGCTCCTACGTCCCTAAACACCAAGTACAATATAAGTTCGAAACCTTACCATAATTCTTACGACTCGGTCGGTATAGTACCAAAATACAATTTTAGCATCGTCGACCTCAAAGGCGTTAGTGTAGTAATGAACAAAACATTTAAATGGCCCGTCTTCCAGCTTTCTAAACGTCAGATACGATATTCCAAGGTTCGAATCGGTTTTCCAATAGGTAAAACAGGCTTTTGGTCGACGGACAACGCTCGCTTTCTTCGATGAGAACATGAGGAATGGTATGAGTTGTTGAGAACAAGGCGAGGAGGTCGAAATTGACCAGTCGTTCAAAGAAAAAAAGTTTTAGGCAAAAAATCAATAAATTGGTGGCAACTATTGATTTTTGTAAAATTTGAAAGAAATTTTACCGCCAAACAGGAATTTAGTCGAATTTCGTGTAAAATACGTTTCGAACTGGATCATGGCATATTACATAATAAAAATAAACACTTCATTTTATTCATTTTAGAGTTTTTATTATTTCTAGAGGTTAACAGGATAAAATAAGGTAATTTTGGTATCCATTTTTCATCTTTTTCAGGATTATGCAATGTAAGTGATCGTTCAGCAATATTTATCACATTTTATATACAGAAAATGTTGAAAAAGCCATTAATTTTCGTGAAAATCATGAAAATATTCTCCATGAAGGCCATTATTTGCGTCGCAAGTGAAGCGGAAGTTCGATGTTGAATTGACGCTCGACATGATGCACTCCGCGCCTGAAATCCGAAATGTTACTTATTTTGTGGTTCAACTACAATCACAATAGTTTTTTTTTCATGCAAAAATCATATATTTAGCATTCCCCTCATTTTTGGATGGAAAACTTTGCAAATTTCTGTAAAATCTCTCTGAACTTACGGTTCGCTGAATCCTTCAACTCCAAAATTCATGATTATCAACAACATGAACACGACTGCCAGTCTCAAAAATTTCATCTTTTTTCCACTTGATCACCAGCAAAGAGATAAAAAATTTAAGAGAAATGAAGGGTTGTCGACAAGGTCGAGTTTTGTTAATAAAGGAGGCGCTGAAGTGGAGCAGAAACAATCGAAAATCAATCGGAATTATGTCATTTGAAATCGCTAAATTGCGAGGAAAACGATGGAGGAACATTTTTTATTTATTTGGGTGGTCGAGGGAAGCAATTTGATATAAAGTTGAGGTATCCATGTTCATTCAGTATGTCGTCGAAAAGATCTTCTCCATGTTGCCATCCGGCCGTGAGTGAAGTGGACAGTGAAATACCTGGTAATAAAGTTATTTTCAATGACGTTTCAAATGCTGCGCTCAATTCTTTTTTACGAAATTTTTTGAACAATTTTTCGATCAATTTATTTGGGAGCTTTAACCAAATTTTGCCCCAAAAATAAAATATTATCGAACAGACTTTTAAAATTTGGATACGGCGTATCTCTTTTCTATGCCAAAAATATCCCCATGAACAGCCGATTTCGAGAAAAATCATAAACCACTGGTCTATCTTACCACTCCCGGCAATTTAACTCTTCCTCGCGAGACCTGCGGGCAACCACTTTGCGGGCAGCCAACATTTTCCGATTAAAGTTACAATTTGCCTCCCTTGATCTACGTACAGTGGGGGACCTGACCTAGTGGCAAGAAACGTTCCGGGAAGTATTAAAAATGTGGCTGAATGCTTCCCTCTCCAAGTGAAAAAAGTTCGTTTTGAAGGGCGCGCCCTTTTTCCTCACAAAAAAAGCGCGTTTGAAATCTGAGTTTTTTCACTTGGAGAGGGAGGTATTTTGCCACATTTTTGATGCTTCCTGGATGCAAAATGGTATGTTTTTTGCCACTGGATCAGGTCCCCCACTGTAGTATGGTAGAAATTTTGCGTTGGCGACTTCCAGATGCTGATAAGTACACGAATCTATTGAATTCATTCACCGCTTTCAAAGTTTTGGAAGTTAGTCTTCAAAAAAGACGCCTGACAACCTTATGGTAACAATCCAAGCCATTTTTACACCTGGAAACTCAATTCGCAACATCTAACTGCCAAATCCATGGTTTGAATTTCCTGTTGTAAGCAAATCTTGGCAGTTTTCCAAACATGCCCGTAGAATGTCCGTGGTTCTTTTTGCTGCCGAAAAAGTGGTTGCCCGGAAAGTGTGATCCTATCCTGGACTCATCTCAATTCATAACCGGTTTATTTCCAAACTTTTCAACATAGAACTTTGCCAAATACATATGTGAATATGTTAAAATTCCAACAACAGGCACTGTTAACGTTTTTGTACAAGTATAAGCAAAGTGTAATAACAAGATGTTAACCCATTAATTTCTCGTCAACTTTTTCTTCCTTATTTGATGATTTGCGTTTGGACCGATACGAGCTTCGGCTTGAGACGGGCACTACAATATCAGTCACAGCATTTTCAAACGGAGTATCCAGAAGTCGTCTGGAATTAGTATGTTAGATTTTAAGTAGCTTTGAATTGTAAAATACGCCTGGTTTTCAACAGCCCTGGTTCTTCTTTTACAGTGAGGTGATCCGGTGGCAAAAAACGTACCATTTTGCATACTTGAGGTCAAAAATGTGGCAAAATGCATCCCTCTCCAAGTGAAAAAACTTCGTTTTGAAGTTCCCTCACAACAAGAGCGGGCGCGCTTTTGAAATCGGAGTTTTTTCACCTGGAGAGGGAAGCATCTTGCCACATTTTTGATGCTTCCCGGATGCAAAATGCTACGTTTTTGCCACTGGATCAGGTCCTCCACTGTAGCTCATAAACACCTCTTACCTTGAATCTCCGGTGAGTTCCAACTGTTCTTCCACGATATCCGTCAAGAACGTTGTGTAATCCAACGACCCGTCTTCAAGATGCATCCCCTTCGCGCCCAGATTCACAGTCATCTGCACCAAAAATTTGCGACGATTCTGGACCAGCAATGCCAATTGGTCCAAACTTTTCCGCTCCTGAGTGATCGGAATCCCGGTCACATTGCTGCGCAGGCTGTTGGAGACGATGACAATCGACCATTTCTCCAGATTCCCGTGATCAAAGTCCTTGAGATCCGGTTTGCGGCAGCAGAAGCGGAGCCGAAGGAAAGCCCGATAAAGGGCATTTCGAATGCGCTTGTCGTTGATGACGTAAATCGGAAGTCGAAGAGCGCAACCGCAGATGGTGAGCTGAAAAATGATGGTGAAAGAAAGCGGTAATGCGTTGTGAAAGTGCTCTACAGGTGCACTGGAATATTGATGAAAACATGACAATATTTCGAAAAAGTTTTTTTTTTTATTTTTTTTGTCCCGATACCGTATTTGCTTGAAATTTTCGATGCGTTTATAAAGTTGAAAAAAATTTTTTGTGAGGGAAAGGGCCCGATTTTTGTGAGGGAAAGGGCGCGCCTTTCAAAACCAAGTTTTTTCACTTTGAGAGGGAAGCATTTTGCCATATTTTTGATGCTTCCCTGATGCAAAATGGTACGTTTTTTGCCACTGGATCAGGTCCGTCACTGTATCTGTTATTGTCAGAAAAAATTATCTCAATTTGTGCCGAGTTTTTTCAAATCCTCATATCTCATCAGTTACAATAAAAATTTGGTCTTTCTTTAACTGCTCTCATGCCTTTTTGTCATCGAAAAATTCTATCATTTTACATACCTTTACATTTTGTTTCTCAAATTTTAGCGCATTTTTCAAAAGAAACGTTAATCAGCTTTTTCGGGAGGGATAGAAATTATACTTCCTTTTCAAAATTAATTCAACATCATAACAAAACTAGAGCCTCTTTGTGTAAGAAGATTAGAGTAACGGTAGTTTTGTGAAACCTTTGGAAGTCCGTTAGCCGATTTTTTCTTTTCGATAGTGGCAGGTATACGGCCAAAAGGCGTTTTCTTTAGGCCACTCTCAATTTTGCCTTCTCTCTCGAGGTCGTTGAAAATTTCGGTTGCTCCGGTAAAGTCTGAGTTAAAATTTTAATGAAATGATATACAGACTACTTGTTAGTTTGTGGACTAAACAGAGCGCATTACGCATCAAAGAAGAGCTAAATTTTTTGACCAAAAACTAATCACAACTCGCTTACCAATGCGGCCAGATCCGATGCCACCAAATAGAAATAGTAATGGTCGTATCTGAAGAACAGCGAGTCAAAATACTCCCAGATGTTCAGAATCGTAGACACCGAATTCGAAATCAAGTAGCATCCGACGACCATAACCAGAGTCCTTGTCGCCACTCGGACTCCCCGTTTTTCACTGTACCGCTGCCTCATAATATAGGATCCCCGGCTTTTGAAGGACTTGCCGGAATCGGTCTGCGAAATGGTCCGTTGCGAATTTCGCATAAACTTTTTTAACGGATATCGCGTAACGGTGACGCCGATGGTTGGCGGCGGATGGGTGAAGTGCTGCTTCTCGGACTTGCGCCGCTTCCTTCGCAGATGCAAAACAATATGCGCGTTGCAAAACGCCAGAACAATAAAGGGCAGGATGATTGTGAAGACTTTCCGCATCCAAAACCTCCATGCGGCCCAGTTGAAGGTGGAGCCGAGTTCCATTTCGTCCAGCCAGATTGGATGAATCCGTTCGATGGGATGACAATCCAGTTCGAGGAGATCGGTCTCGAAGTAGAGGGTGGCTTTGAAGACGAAGGCGAGAAGGAAGATCATGAAAATGACAAGAGGTTTGTTGCCCACAATCAGAACGAGAAGGCGCTTTTGGAAGCTCTGAAAAAAAGGGGATTGTAAAATACGAAAATAAAAGTTATAGATAACATTTAGATTACAGTGAGGGACCTGACGACGACTTCAATGTCAACCAGTCAACGATCGTTCGACGTCTCAAAAAGCTTGGAAAGGTATGAAAATTGGCTGGATGGGTCCCTCACGAACTCTCCGACAACAACAAAGCAGATCGCGAAATTTGTTGGAAAAAACGCCGGATAATTATGCATCAATCCAATATTTTTTAAAGACATATGCGAAATTACTAGCGGCCAAAAACTGTTTTTTTCTCCGTCCGCTTTCTTCACTTCGCATGCTCTCTCGGCGGAGAAAATGTGTTGAACTTTTCGACTACCCCTGCTAACCATATGATGACTCGACTGCGGTCGAACTACCTTCTTACCTGTTTTAGAATGGGACCATTCGCCAAGTACCTCTCCAAACTCGCCACTACCAACAAGAAATTCGAGACGTTCAAGGCGAAGTGCTGAAAATTAAAAATTAATAACAACCGAAAAAGACTCAGCCAAAAGGTATTTTTCACCTCAAAACTTACCTTAATAACATACGTAACTCTCATATAATTGGCCCATATCCGGATAACTCGCTCGCTGTGCACTGTATAGCCGATAACAGGGACACAAATAGTCAACATGTAACAAATCGAAACGACCGAATCAAAGAAGGCCAATAACACCGGATTCGCATAATTTTGTCGTCGTAGCTTTCGCGACGTTGAAAATACATAGAAGAGGAGGAGATTTTCAACAAATGATATCTGAAAATTACTTCGAAGTAATTTTTTTATTTTTTGCATCAAAAAATGCAAAAAAAAAATAAAAAATTTTTTACAGATTTTTTAGCTTAAATGCAGTAAAAAGTCCTCAGAATTCTAAAACAAATCACCCTTGCACTTTTTTAAGTCTTATTTTGCCCCTTTTCCTCCAAGAGAAACACTTGACTCTTACCGTGGCAACACTTGACCCGACAATTCCAACCAATGCCACCCGAAATGCATCGGTGTAATCTGTAGTGTTTAGCTGACAACTCCGCGTTATCGAGTCATTTGTGCGAAATAAATGCATCTGAAAACATGCATTTTGTAGGGTATATGTAAAATACGGTGTTCGTCGGGTTCGAAATCAAAAGACTTCGCGCGATCAAAAAAAGACATTTTTTTGGATAAAATAAGTTGCTTTGTAGTAATTCTGAAAAAAATGAAAATTTTTTTAAAAATTTTTAATTTAAAATACGTTAGCTGCTTCTGTGCTTGCAAAATTTTAAAGCACAAATTTTTGAATTTGAATTTCGAGAAAGTCCAAAAATTTCGAAAATCCGAAAAATACAAGTTCAGATGTAATCTGGTCAGGCGCATTTATAAAATATTTTCACCCGGATTAGACTCGATTGCCGTATTTCCGTTACGCTTCTGGGAAAGCGGGCAGAGACGCAATTTACAAAGTTTTAAAGAGTAACTGAAAATAAATCCAAGACGGGTTGTAAAGTGTGGGTTGTGGTCTTGGTGGCCGAGCACTAGTAAAAAAATTGTGCCATTGAAAGTATTAGAAAAATGGTGTGGGATTCAAAGAGCAGTGTAATATCACAGGGACGGTTACGGAGAAGGCGCGGGGGCGAGACAGATACGATACAGGCTTTCTTGGAGGTGCCGTAGTTTCACAAGTCGGAGAATAGCAAAACACGACTTTGGCATTCTGCAACAACCACTGAATTTCCACTTCAATTACTGTCTAAGCCCATTAAACAGTTTCACTCAGGTTTTGAGCCTTTATAAAGCCATTTCTTGCATTGGTGGGCGGTTTTAGTTGACCAGGTGGGATTACCCGATATTACATTTGACCATGTTGCTAATAATTAAAAAAACAAAAAGTAGCCTTATCAAATGCTAATTTTTTTACGTCAAAAATACTATGACATTCTGAAATGTTAGATGTGCATTAAATGTATACCGAACATTTGGATGCCACCTGTGGGTCAAAAAACATTGCAATAACGTGGTATATCGATGCAGAATTTTTTTACAAAATTTGGGCTTTGTGTTTCAGAGATCTTCAGAATGGCTTTTAGAAAGACTTGAACTGAAATTTCAAAGTGAATAAGGCTTGGGTTGCAAAGAAAAATCGCATTTTTGTGGTAAAAAATACAACCGAAAACGGTTAAAGAAAATATTAGTTTTTTGTTGTTTGTTACTTTTTACTGTAGTTTTCTAAAAAGGTATGTTATATTTGCTACTACACAAAATGGGGACGTTTGAGGATTCAGGGAAAAAAAGAATTTTAACATTTGGCCCAAAATTAAAGAAGTTATAGCCAATTCAAATCGGGCCACAAAATTGGTAGACCCTGTACAGTTTCTCCGCGCTGGCAGACATACATAGAGCCAAGGAGTTTTTCATGGCCCTGCAAAAGAGCTAACATTTTGGGGATTGATATGTGACCTAACTTAGGTCACATAAGGTCACCTAGGTTCCACACGTGAGCAAAATTTAAAGGAAATCTGGGGGTTGCACATGGGTGTTCCCCTTGTAAGTTTTGTTAAAACCTGAGCGTCAAATCCCCTTGTTTTATTAATATTTCACCATAACAAAAGGCGTCCTGCCTAGAGAGCTTCCCTTCTAACGCAGAGACAAAGTCGAACCCCGATTTTACAATTACAACAATTCTAATGATGGACACAAACAATTGCCCCGTTTATTAAGACTTTTACAGAGATCACAATCGGCTCATTAATGTCTTAAAACAAAACTATTGCCATGTTGCGACATCAAATAATCTCGCAACAGGACATACAATAAAACAAAAGTTGTTTACAATCTCCCATAAAAGAGCATAAAAACAAAGTTTCGTTGTTAAAGAAGCTGTTTGTGGGGCTCGGAAAAGTGTCAAAAACTCCGCGTTTAGACGTTTTCCGAAAGCTGGAGGGGAGATTTGAATCTAATCCGTTAAATAATTCCCAGCTCCAATATTCCCAATTCCGAAGAGTGGTCGATAAAAGGGTGACATTCTGTGTAATGTCAGCTAATTGCGTGTAATCGGGAGGCTGGATAATTGAAGGGAAATTGCAGGGGATATAGCGAATTAACTTCTTCTAATAATAAGGCCGCTATTTTGGGGTCTTGAAGCGGGAAAAGTTGGAGGATTTTGTGATGAAAAACGGCAGATTAAAACAAGAATGTGGAAATTTTTCCTCCGAAATGATTGTAGAGAAATTCGAAATGCGGTAAATTTCAATTGTTTTAGATTTAGCCAACGCACGTTTTTTGGGGACTGATGAGATAATCAACGACAGAGAGTACGATTTGTCGACGAGAGAGTATGAAAAGTGAGGAGACACGCAATTGGAAAAAGACTAGTCCGTCCGCAAAGTCGCTCAGGTGATTTTTGGCGCTTGCACTATGCACAAAAAGTCAGGATGCGAGTGACAACCCATAATCCCATTGCACGATGAAAAAATCAAGAAATTTCATGGTGCAAAGAACAGTCTGTCGGAAAAATAATGCGGTCGCATTGAAAATTGCATAACCGGCGAGAAAATTAATTGTGTCGCGGGAAAATCAAAAATGAATTGTGTTGCGGCAAAATCAGATCGCTTTTCAATTTGCGATCGGCGCAGCGGCATTGTGCTCATTATTTTCCCGAAAAACGGATAAAAAATCAGTCCAGCGACTTTGCGAGCGGACAAATAAGTCTATTTTGTCTCTCCGTGCTTCAAGACTTATGGGCCATCCTAATACATACAGTCAAATCAAAAAAATAGCAAGTGATCAAAGAATCTCCTCGGTTTAGATGGGCGTTGTTATGTTGAGGTTCATTTTCGCATAAACTTGACAAAAATTGGCCTAAAAAACTGGCTCGAAACTCTAAATGAGGAGGCTCGGACCTCCTCATACAGCCGTGACCATGCTATAACTGTACAAAACGTCACTGTGAAAAAGGCAAAAAATCACGACGAAACAAGCACCATTAACAATTTTGCTCTCAAATGTAAGGAAGACATTGCGGCTTTAAAATTAAGGGGCTTAAATGCGCCGAGGGATTAAACACGGCATCCATCGAGTCACCTTTTAATTATTCTAAAGGTGCACAATCGAACATGACGTGTTCGACAGTGATTTCAACGACAATCCTATTAGACGTTGTTACGCAGTCTTTACGAATGACGAAGTAAGAAGGGAAAGGAAAATTTTAAGAAAATCGCAAAATATACGTTTTCAAAAAGTGGCGTTAAAAAAATTTGTATAATTTTTAGATTTTTTAAAAATTTTTTTTTGGAAAAATTGGGCCAACAAAGGGACGTATTTGAACCTAGGCGATCATGCTTGCCCTTCCGGAAAGCCGCCAGTCTGATTTTTGGCGTTAGCAGTGTGCAAAAGAAGTCTGGGTGCCAGCGACAGCCCAAAAATGCCTATTGCACGGTGCGGAAAGCAAAAGATTGCACAGTGCAAAGGTTGTGAAAAAAAATTAATTTTCTGTACAGAAATTTGGTAGAAAAAGGTGCCAATTTCACATGCCAACATTCGCAAAAACTGGTACGTCTTGACCAATTTAGAATGCAAAATTCTCAGTCGTTTATGCGAAGTACGAGCTAGAAATCTCCCATGAAAAAATAACCTAAATTTTCGCCAATTTCGAATAACACCTGAGCCTCGCACTTCGGGAAATTCCGCTATAAAGCAAAAAAAAAAACAAACATCTGTAAATTTTCTAATCAAACGAAAAATGTTTATCGCCAATATTATCCGATATTCAACTTTTTATGCGCCCAATAAAAATGGAAATCCCTTGCAAACGGATAAAAATTGCACTTGACCAAAAATTACACCAAGTGCACAAGAATATTACTTCCTCGTGGCGCAAAAAATAATTGTCAAAATCACGACGCTTGTACGTTTTGGTGACATTAGACTTAATTTTTTAATAGACAGTCAAAAGTGCAAGTTTACGGGGAAATGTCGCGTGAAAATTTGGGGTGAAAATTCATAAAGACGTACTAATTAAAAGAGAGTTTTTTACAAATCGAAGGATGGCCCGGACATTTCGAAAAAACGACCAACTCAGAATCTTTTGATATTTTGCACAGTTGTTGTCCTATGATAGCTGAACGTCAGCACGAATTTTTAGTTTCGAAAATTACCGTATACGGGGGTTACGGTAGGTACAATTTTTACAAAGATTGGGTTCGTATGCAAAGACCTCAAGGAGTAAAGGCACAAAACCTCGCTGTTTTACGTTTTTGACCATGGGGAACATTTTCATAATTGACAACTTTGCCGTAGGATGTTACCTTCGACTACTTTGAAAAATACCAAGGTACCATATTGAATGTAACTTTTTTGCAGAGAACTTGTCTCAACTTTTGAAACCTCTTAAAAATACTTTGACATTTATGTAACAACATATCAAAAATGCGCGAAAATAAAAGGGGGGTTTTTGGAGTTACGGTACTTTGAATGTTGCCGGTACGGTATATCAAAAAATAATTTTTTCCAAAATCGGTGTAGAAGACCCGCAAAAATTGCCAAAACCCGTTTTCGACCATGGCGAACATTTTTGTAATTGACACTTTTTTTGTAGGATGTAGTCTTCGCCTACTTCGAAAATGACCCACATACCATGTGTAATGTAACTCTTCGGCATTCTACTTGTCTCAACTTTTGAAACCTCTCAAAAATACGTTGACATGTATGGAACAACATATCAAAAATTTAGAAAAATAAAAGGGGGGGGTTTTGGAGTTATGGCAATTTTAACGTTGCCCGTACGGTATATCAAAATTTCATTTTTTCTAAAGTTGGAGTACGACAACCGCAAACCTTGCCAATATACGTTTTCAACCATTGGGAACATTTTTGTAATTGACAGTTTTGTTCTAGGATGCAGCCTTCGACCGGTTTGAGAAATGTCAAGATACCATGTTCAATATAACTTTCCGGCATTCAAGTTGTCTCAACTTTTGAAACCTTTCAAAAACACCTTGACATATGTGTAACAACATATCAAAAATTTAGGAAAATAAAAGGGGGGGTTTTGGAGTTACGGTACTTTGAATGTTGGACATACAGTACACC